AGTTCTAAAAGACCCAGTTCCTCTATCTTGAGAACCGGCTGGGCGAGGCCATGACAGAACAATGGGCTGGGAAAGGAACTGAAGAAGGGGTGAGAGTTTCACTGAAGTGACCAACTGAGGTAAGCAGGGAAGGAAGTGAAGCCAAGAAGGAGACTGACATCCACGGCCTGGGCGTCCTGCTTTGGCCTGAGAGCAGTGTCAGTGGGAATAAGGGAGCGGAAGAGTATTAGCACAGGAAGCTCCAATCAGAGAGGTATTAAAAAATGCACATTCCAGAGATGGATTCTGCATGAGATAAGGTTGGGATTGGATGCAGGGCCATGGGAGACAATGTGTCGGTTGAAGAAGTAGGGAAGGTCAAGAAATTATGAGTTCAGAGTATGAGACAGGTCATTTATGTGGACCAGTGATTCTTCACTGGGGGGCACTATGGGCCCTGGGGGACATCTGGAAACATGTGAGGGAATCTTCCTAAGGTTTCCCTTCCACCTCTTTTTTCTTTTTTGGATGTCACAATGTCGTGGGGGTACTACTAGCATTTGGAGGAAGGATGAACATCCTGCAGAAGGAAGGTCTGCCTCATCGAAACACGGAGGAGAGAATGAAGCTGGAAGCTACTGTCCCCAGCAAAGCGGGGGAGGGGAGCTTGGCCAGGTGGCTGGCATACCACTGCAAGAAAGGGGAATAGAGAAAGAGTACAGTACAGTTAGATGTGAGCCTCAAAGCACAGGTTTAGAACTTCAGAACAAGGAATGAAAAACAATCGATGGAAACCAGTAGTGGAGATTTAGGACAGCAGCAACCCTGACTCCCAGCCCCAGCATGTGCAGAAGCAGCAGGCGGCCACTGCTCAGAGACAGAAGGCAAGTGGAGGGAAAGCCAAGTTCAGCTGAAGAGAGGTGGGGCTAGGGAGGGTGAAAAGGGTAAGAATGTGGAGAAGTTTCTCTGCAGAAGAGGGAGTTTCCAACTCCCATTAATCACATCTCAACACTGTCTCAGTTCTTTCCCTTCCTCTCCATTCCTGCTGCCCCCCACCTTCAATAGCTTTCACTTGGGTTCTCAAGAGAGCCTCACAACTTGTTTCCATGCTATCAATCTCTCACCTTTCCAGTCTACCTTTCTACACTGTTGCCAGAAGCATCTTTCTAAAATACAAGTCTGATCATGTCATTCTGTCTACACAAAAACCTTCAATTGTTTCCCTTGTTTATCTAACTAAATAAATCCTGAACTCAGTATGGCATTCAAGGCCATCTATCATCCGGCTCAAACTAAACCGTACTAGTCCCTTCTCCCTTTTGTATCTCTCCATGCTAGACTGCTTGCTTTCCCATTCCCTTTATTCATGGTTAGTTTCCACAATCCTTTGTTTGAACCTATCATAAGCCTGATAGAATATCTTTTACTACCAGTGCTCCCTAAACCTCCCTGAAAGTAAAATTCACCTGGGATACTTGTTGAAAACACAAATTCCTAGGCTCCATCCCAGACACATCAAATCAGACTCTTTAGGGGAGGAGCCAGGGAAGCCATATAGGATAGTTTTAAAACATGTCCAAAAATATCTTTGACATTCCTGGGGCGCCTGGTGGCTCAGCTGGTTAAGCGTTTGACTTCGGTTCAGGTCATGATTTCATGGTTCATGAGTTCAAGCCCTGCATCGGACCGTCTGTTGTCAGCACAGAGCCTGCTTCAGCTCCTCTGTCTCCCTCTCTCTCTCTGCCCCTCTCCCCCTCCTCTCGCTCAAAAATAGACATTAAAAACAAAAATTGACATTCCTCCCAACGAAAAGTAGAGTCAAGTTCTCGTCCCTCTGAATGTGGGCCAACTTGAAGAGAATGTGGCAAAAATGATTCTGTGTAACTTCTGAGGCCAGGTCATAAAAGGCCACACAACTCCTGATCCTGTCTCCCTTCTTCCTTTGTTCCCTCCCTCTGTCTCTGGATGCTTGCCCTTGGCACCCAGCCAACTAAGCCACGCAGCCACATGGAAAAGCCATGTGTAGGTATTCTGACCAGGGCCCCAGCTGAGATCCCAGATGACTGCCAACAGCAATGACCTGACTTGCGAGTGAGTGAGTCTTTAGAGGACTATGGGCCCATCTTTGAGCCACCTTGGCTGATGCTAACAGAAGCATCAAATTGGAGATTCACAAGCAAAATAAATGTTAGTATTTCAAGCCACTAAATTTTGGAGATTTTTTTTTCTAATGAGCAATAGATAACCGGAGCACCATATTATTAGTAAGTACCCCAGGTGATTCTTAAGATGAAGGAGGTTCAGGGACTTCAGCTACCATATAAACCATACTAATTTATACCATCAGTTTCCTTGAGGTCAGGGATTAAGTCTTACTACCTTCCCAGGGGCAGCTGGGTGGCTCAGTCAGTTGAGTATCTGATGTCAGCTCAGGTCATGATCTCACAGTTCGTGGGTTTGAGCCCCACATCAGGCTTGCTGCTGTCAGCCTGTCAGCATGGAGCCCATTTCAGATCCTCTGTCTCCCTCTCTCTGCCCCTCCGCTGCTTGCACTCTCCCCACCCACTCCCCAAAAAAATAAATGTTAAAAAAATTTTTTTAAATGACATTTATTTATTTTTGAGAGTTAGAGAGACAGAGTGTGAGCAGGAGAGAGGCAGACACACACACACACACACACACACACACACACACACACACACACACAGAACCTGAAACCTGAAGCAGGCTCCAGGCTCTGAGCTGTCAGCACAGAGCCCAACGCAGGGCTTGAACTCATGGACTGTGAGATCATGACCTGAGCTGAAGTCAGACGCTTAACTGACTGAGTCACCCAGACGCTTCAAAAAAATATTAAAAATAAGTCTTACTACCTTTCAGGCTCTCTGTCCCTTTTTTCTAAAATATCTTCATTGAGGGGCGCCTGGGTGGCGCAGTCGGTTAAGCGTCCGACTTCAGCCAGGTCACGATCTCCTGGTCCGTGAGTTCGAGCCCCGCGTCAGGCTCTGGGCTGATGGCTCAGAGCCTGGAGCCTGTTTCCGATTCTGTGTCTCCCTCTCTCTCTGCCCCTCCCCCATTCGTGCTCTGTCTCTCTCTGTCGCAAAAATAAATAAACGTTGAAAAAAAAATTAAAAAAAAATAAATAAATAAAATAAAATATCTTCATTGATTTTCTTTTTCTTTCTTTCTTTTTTTTTTTTTTTTTTGGTAAGAATAATACATGTTTGCCATAAAATTACAACAATACAAAATGCATAATGTAGAAGATAAACGGCCTATGCAGTCTCCCCCCACCTTCATTCCACCTTGAGCGGTAAACAAAGCCAACAATTTGGAAGGGCAGTGTTTTCCACAGAGCAAGTGCTTGATGGATTTGTTCCTGAAGAAAAGGTGACACGGTAGATTTAAAAATGTCCTATTGTTATTTAGCTATATCCTAGATACAGCTCCCAGAATTTCTTTCTTCAAACCTTGACCATGTTTTATCTCTTAAATGTATCGAGCTTCCTATTAATTAACAAACTCTACTAGTAAGGTAAACCTATCAGCTGTCCTAAGCTCCTCCCCAGTATGGCGTCTCCCTTTGAGTGAAGTCAATGTGTTTGTGCGTCCCTGGTATATTACATATACCATTCTTTCAACATCTGTTGAGTGCCTACCACATTCCAGTCACCATGCTATACACTAGGCATATAAAATAAGTGGGAAAGGGGCCCTCATATCAAAGAACTCATGGTCCAGAGTAGGGGGTCAGCAAACTTTTTCTTAAGGGACCAGGTAGTAAATATTTTAGACTTTGAGGCCATCTGGTCTCTGCTGCAACTCTGCAGCTATAGCACGAAAGCAGCCATAGACAATGCACAAATAGAAATGGCCATGTTCCCATAAATCTTTATTTACTAAAACAGGCAGCTAGTGGGCCGGAGGTTGCCTACACAGTTTTCACTGTTCAACAAAACTTTGTGCATTGACGAAATGTTTCTGTGATTTCCAAAATGGTAGCCACTTGCTACATGTAACTCTTGGATGCTTGAAATGTGGCTAGTGCAGCTGATGAACTGAATTTTAAGTATTATTTAATTTTAATTAATTTACTTTTTTTTTTTTAAATTTTTTTAACGTTTTATTTTTGAGACAGGGAGAGACAGAGCATGAACAGGGGAGGGTCAGAGAGAGGGAGACACAGAATCTGAAACAGGCTCCAGGCTCTGAGCTGTCAGCACAGAGCCCGACGTGGGGCTCGAACTCACGGACCACGAGATCATGACCTGAGCCAAAGTCGGCCGCTTAACCGACTGAGCCACCCAGGCGCCCCAATTAATTTACATTTAAATAGGCACATATGTAGTGGCTACTATACTGGACAATGCAGGTATAGAGTGTACTAACGCTTCCTTCAACGAAATCAATGCTTGCCTCACAATGCATCTCAACCAAAAAGCCTTCCTGATTAGCTTCTGCCCATGATGGTCACTCTTTCTCTCCTATTGTTTCTAGTCCTTAGTTCCATTCATTTTGGACTTGCTGACATTTTGCTTAATAATTATGTGTTTTATAATTATCTTTTGTGTGTAACTTTTTCTCTCCCTAACTAAACAAAAATTCAAGGATAGAGAATGTGTTTCCTGATTATTATCCTCCTCCTCCACCGTGTCTTGTATGGTGCTTAAAATTCAGAAGGTGCTCAATAAAGCCATTTTTTTAGACTTTTTTTTTTCTAAAGTTTACTTATTCTGAGAGAGACAGAGAACGAGCAGGGGAGGGGCAGAGAGAGAGAGAGAGAGAGAGAATCCCAAGCAGGCTGCACACTGCCAGCAGCGGAGCCCGAGTGGGGCTCAAAGTCATGAACCATGAGATCATGACTTGACCGAAACCAATAGCTGGACACTTAATGGACTGAGCCACCCAAGTGCCCCTCAATAAAGCCATTTTACACCATGTACTTCCTTTACTGATTTCCCTGACAGGTGGTAATGTTTGCTCAAGACAGATGGTCCTCTTGGACAAAGATCAGCACTTACTTGGAGAATATTTCTACAATAGCTGATGACTTGTTCTTGTTGACAAGAGAAAGTTCTTTGGCCGTTACCCTCAATGATACTGAAGTCCATTGCCGTCTATTAAATGGAGTTGATTCCATCTTGTCTACAGATACTGAAATACCTATGCAATAAAGAAAGTCAGAGTATTAGACACAGAAGAGGATTCTCTAGCAGCCAAGGGCTCGCAGTGGTGTGGCAGAAGAGAGAACACAGAGCTCTACCTAGGCCAGCAGACCACACCACTGCCTCTACCAGTTCTCTCTCAAAAACTGTAACCTTGGTCAAATGATTCAATATCTGGGTTGTAGTTTCCTGTAAAATGAGAAGGTTAGACCAGATGATCTCTAAGGTCCCTTCCAGTTCCATCATTTTATGACTGACCTCACTGTGCAAACATCAATTGGCCTCCCTCTGAACTTAAATCTGTTCCAAAGTCACATTTGGAGTGAAATGTTCCACTCTTCTGAGTTACATCCCAAGGGAAGTACACTTGGCATCTGTGTAGATTCAGGTCCAAATTAGGTTCTACCTACGTCCAAGTTTCTTTTGGCTGCCCTTTCTCCCCAAACTGTGCATCACTGACCACTTGGTTTAGAGAGAGAGCTGGGGACACAGCATGGTATAAGATAAAGAGTGAGGGCTTTAAGTTGAGATAATCTTCAGCTAAATCATAACTTTTGTCACCGTGAACAACCTATATAATTTAATATATATAGTTTTACTTTCTTCTGCTGAAAAATGAGGATAATACTTACCATTGTGGGTGTTTTGATATGGATTTAAGGAGAGGATATATTTAAAATATTAAGTAGGTTATAACGTATTAAGAGCAATTTAAGTATACATATCAGAATTGACTATTGTTATATACTTATTATTTTTACATTTTAACAATCTTGACAACATGGAGAAATATAATGTACTTTAAATTCAGGCGACAAAAACCTCTATTCTGTAATTCTTTTCTAACATTGCTTCAAGTCAAAGAATACATAAAGCTATGCCTCTGAAATCACCTAGTCCCTGCCCATTAATCTGGATTGTTTCGGTTTTGCCCCAGAAATTGCCAAAGGTGTTTTTGCCCTAGTAGTTAGCAAAGGAGTTCCAACCTTTGTCCAGAAAAGGTAAGATTAGAAATGAGTCCATAGTGGGGTGCCTGGGTGGCGCAGTCGGTTAAGCGTCCGACTTCAGCCAGGTCACGATCTCGCGGTCCGTGAGGTAGAGCCCCGCGTCGGGCTCTGGGCTGATGGCTCAGAGCCTGGAGCCTGTTTCCGATTCTGTGTCTCCCTCTCTCTCTGCCCCTCCCCCGTTCATGCTCTGTCTCTCTCTGTCCCAAAAATAAATAAACGTTGAAAAAAAAAAAAAAAGAAATGAGTCCATAGTTTCCTTATTTGAAGAGTGAAAACTATAGATAAAGTACTACTTGCAGGTCTCTTGACAACTGCAGAGCATAACTGATCTGACAGAATGCAGAGTTCATCATGTACTGTTTCTAGCAACCTTGACAACAACAGAACCCAGTGGGCTTAACCAAGCAACCTGGGCTGCCATTTTACACTGAAAGTTCTGTTATGCAAAGCAAGTGATAAGCAACCTTAAAGAGCACACTACTTTTCCACACGCAGTACTCGTTCTTCCTACTAAAGTCTTGTGTGAAAACAATGAGAGTTTTGTGGTTTTTACTTGTTTGTTTTAATCCCCATGTTGGAAGGTAACATAGAACCCCCTCATGATAAGGAGCTCTGGTATTAGACACAGATGCATTTAAGTGGGAGTTTTGGCCCCATCCCTAAAACTTAGATTTCTCATCCATAGCAATAGTACTTCCTTCATAATATCCTTATGAGGAACAAATAAGATAAAGAAAAGACCCTGACACAGAGTAAGTAATACATAGTGGTTTTTCAAGAATCTCTCTCTTCCTGGATAAGATAATCTTAATTCTACACATGTTCTTTGAAGTAAACGTCAGTGTATCAAATAATATGTATTTACTTGTTTATCTGCTTCCCAGTCTGAATCTGACAGACCCGTTGAACATTGTCAGCCCTTACTGTAATAAGAAAAAGATACAGAAGCAAAAACAATTCTGCTAAACTCAGTTACGCAACATCACAGTAATGACCCTTTGAGCCAAGGTTAGGAAATACTGAATCACACTTCAAGACACTGTTGAGTACAATTATGCTTTCAATGTAGGTGTGGGTATAAAAGTCGTCAGTGCTTCTATAGCAATCAATTCTGGATCAAAGAAAAAAATACAGAAGATATGTTCTCAAATTTGTTTCTAAAAAGGAAAAATCATTCATTATTTGAGGGACTGAGTATGGTTAAAAAAGGGGGGGGTTATTTAATTCCCAAGTCTAATTCCATGGTTTTGATTAACATTGGCCAGAAATCCAGCAAAACTCAGAATATCTATCTTGGTATAAGGCTGTGATAAGCACACTTTTTGCTCAAGGAATGAGATGGCTCACACCATCTCCACACTTCTCTTTACAGAAGCATACTATCATTTCTTAGTAATGTGATTAGCAGCACCCTATGAAACAGATAAAGGCGAGAATGAGTACACGCTTTTTGATAGACGCTGGTATCAGGTTACCGAGTAACTAGCTACTTTCTATAAGGTATAGGGAGAGGGCCTGCCCTGGCTGGGGCTTGCTGACACGTACACAATAATTATAGCACGAAGCAGAATATGGTTAGAGGCAATGTGTGGTCTAGGAGTAGGGAATTTGATTTTCTGGCTTGATGGGAGGGAAGGGAAGAGACATCAGATTGATTTGGGACTTACAGAGGGGCAGACCTTCATCAACTGAGGCCAGGAGGAGGAAAGTGCATCTCAGGTAGGGAGAACAGCATTATACTGTTAGGGAGCTGAAATAGCATAGAATACTTTAATGGATTTGACTGTAGGTACAAAAGTAGTGGAAGATAAGGTAGGGAAAGAATGGGCCCAGAATGGGAAAATCCTTGCAAACCATGTTAAGGAGTTTGAGCCATATTCCAATACTGGAAAGAACTAGCCTGTGAGTGAGCAGAGATAAGGTCTAGTCTTAATGTGCCACTCCCAAAAGAATGATTTCCCTGAGCCCAACATCTATATCTGTAAGATAAAAGTTCTATAGTGAATCGCCCACAGTCTCTATGGTGGAACCTGGGAAGTTTCTGAAAAAGCAAGTAACATAATGGGAACCATGTTTTAAAAGCTGATTCTGCAGCAGTGTATAATGTGATAAGTGGGGGGGCAAAGACTGGAGTCTAATTTACTTGTCAAAAAGATCCTAAAACTGTCTAAGTGAGAGGTAATCAAGGTTTACATTAGCATAGGTGGGAATGGAAAGGTGGGAAGAGAATTTACAGTTCTTAGAATAAAATGGATTTACAGTTAGAGAAGGAATCAAAATTGGAATCATCAAACTTGAATGATTAGAAGATTGTTGATGCCATTAAGAGAGACAGTAAACATAGGAAGAAGTGGGAGAATTATGAGTTTTGTTTTACATATGTTGAAATATACATGCCTGCAAGAAAAATCCTAGTGATTTTAGGAAGCTAAAAATTCCAGGCCGAGGTTTCACACTCCTGGAAAGAAATGAACGTTTCTTTTATTTATTTTTTACATGTGTATTTTTATTTATTTTTGAGAGAGAGAGCAAGTGCATGAGCAGGGGAGGGGCAGAGGGTGAGGGAGAGCAAGAATCCCAAGAACCCCAATGAGGGGTTCAATCTCATGAACCATGAGATCATGACCTGAGCTGAGATCCAGAGTTGGACACTCAACCGACTGAACCACCCAGGTGCCCCAGAAATGAACATTTTAAAACATCTACTTACATGAAGTACATATTTCACTTATTTCTCATAACCGCTCTACAAGATTGGTTTTACTATCTCATATTTATGTTGAAAAACCGAAATTCAGAGATATTAAATAACTGTACAATCATCTTTTAGTCATAAGTAGCAGAGCTGGGATTCAAATCCATATTCTCTCTGATTTCCAAAGTCAATTTTCTTTCCACTACAAGTAATGAATAATGATTAAAACCATCACTTTTGGCCATGGTAGAAAATTGGGTAGCAAAAGTTTTGAATCACTTAGCTGCAAACCCATACAAATTATCTTTCAGCAAGAGTGTAGTGGCAATTATCTTCCCAGAATGGCCAGCATCAGAGATAAATCATCTGGTCTTTCAGTGAAACTTAGAATTAACTAGGGCCTTCTTGAAATACTCTCCACTGTGAACATCTTGACTTTCATGGGGTTGAATTAAAGGTGTGATATCTCTCCCTCCTTACCAACTCTCTCTCAGATGGGAATCCCATTCTCAGACTTTAGGACAACTTCCTAATCCTAGAAATCTTATTAAGAGTGAGAGGGCATGTACCAATGCCTGGAAAGACCCATCTAGGGAGTCTTTGGGCTGCAATGCCTTTTTTTAAGTTTATTAATTTTGAGAGAGAGAGAGAGAATGTGCATGAAGGAGGGGCAGAGAGAGAGGGAGAGAGAGAATCCCAAGCAGGCTCTACTCTGATAGCGTAGAGCCTGACGTGGGGCTCGAACTCATAAACCGTGAGATCATGACCTGAGCCAAAACCAAGAGTCGGACACCTAACCGACTGAACCACCCGTGCACCCCTGGCTACCATACCTTTGACTATTTTTTTTTTTCCAAAGGCCCATTTGACTCTAAGATCTAATCCACTGCACTGCTACGTGCAAATAATAAAAGGCACTATCACTTATTGGACACTTACTAACTCATTTAAGCCTTACAACAACCCTGGAGATAGACTAGTGTTATTTCCATTAAAAACAAAAGCAAAAACAAAAACAAAAACAAAACCTGGTTCATTGAGGTTGAGTAATGTGCCAAAGGTCATGTAGCTAATATATGGCCCAAGCAGAAGGCGTGTTCAGACTCTAAAACCCAGCCTCTTAGGTCAAACGCATTCTACTACCACTTTAACTGTGTGTCACCCTTGAGCAAGGGCCATGCTAATCTTCTCTGGATCGTTCCAATCTTAGTATACATGCTACCAACACCACTTCAACTGTGAGGGAAGAATGGCTGGATTGGTTGTCAACTGTGTTCGAGACTTAAAGGAAATGGA